AATAAGTATATTATTTAGTTATTCAGAAAATTGCGAAAAATCGCGTACTCTGATAGTATTAAAAAGTCGGGATGTTACAAATGGTATCAGAGCACGTTTCTGCGTCTCTGAAAAGTTTTCAGTCAGTAATTTTCAGAAAAATCCTGAACCGTCATGCTCACGTCTCGCCGACTCCAGGTAAGTGCTGATTCAATTTTCAATTATAAACATATTACTTTGTCTATGCTCAGAAATCAGTAATCAGACTTAGTTAAGATGCTCGAATCAGATTCAGACTTTAGAGTTCAGATATAACTCTAGAATTCAGTATATTCAGATATGACTCTAGAATTCAGTATCGTCCGATATGACTCTAGAGTTCTTCAGGATTCATGTCAGTTTTTGTCAGCCAGTTTTGGCAACTCGTCAAGAGATCTGCGTGCCTTAGTAATCAGTCAAAGAATATTATCATGTGTTGAACTTTTCCAATGTTCAGATGCCTCCCCGTAGGGAACCCGATTACCCGGTTTTTACTCAGGCCACAGTAATCGCACAGTTTCGCGACTATCATGCTGAGAAATTTTCCGGGTAGGGAGATCCCCATATCGTGGACGAGTGGATTTAGAACCTTAGAAAGGGATTAAGTTTAAGAACTCTAGATTCAATTCTAGATTTATTCAAGTCAAGTTAGCAACTTGTCAGAAGATTTGTGCTAAACAAATCTTAATAATCACGTTTCTTAGATATTTCTATCGAAAACTGCCATTTTGCCAATCAAAGTGGCAGACTTCAGGGAGGAATTCCTTGATTCAATTCGAGGAATAGACTCAAATTTTCTAAGTCAGATCAGTAAATCATGTTCAAGGCTAAAATTTCCATGTTAAAGGTTGTTATAATTCTCAAGTCATTGTTAAGGTAACGGTTTCCAGTGTATAAGAGTCAAAAGTCCGGGTTACCATGGAGGCTTGAAATAATAGCCATTCAGTCGGGTATACCATGGAGGCTTGAAGCTGAAACCGGAGCAGTATAATTTCATGTAATAACAACCTTTTAAGTCAGTCATGTCAGATATTTTATCAGTCATGATATTTCAAGTTAAGGTTTTCAAAGATCAAGATCAGCTAATGACTTTGTACATTGCGGGACCAGTTGATACTGGAGCAGCCCTATACAGTACAGATTATAAATTCATGTTCACGATTTACAGTTTAAAGTTTATGTTCATAATGTAAGGTCGACGTATAATAGTTTTTCAGCCGGGCTAAATATGGCGGTCTGATATACAGACCATTAGTCCAAATTTACCTGGAAACTTGAAGTCATACCTTATCAAGTAAAGTAAGTCAGTAAATATCACGTTTTCAATCACGAAGCGACTATTTAAGTTGTCTCGGGATAGTCAAGTCATGATTATTCAGTCATTCAGACCAGTCATGTCAAAATCAAGAATAGTCTGTCTAATAAGACAAGACTTATCTATCATTTTCAGTATGTCAGCGCCTCGAGTCTCAAATTCTGAAGAATCTGAGAAATCGGGGGAGATATTCATTCATGATGGACTTCTTCTTGAGGCTAAGTTTAACCTCGGAGGGGGTAAACAGTTGCAGGTACCACAGGTTGACATACGCCGCGACGAAGAAGGGCCAATCGATAGCAACAGATCGTGCCATGATGACAAACCGACGCTTTCCACCCCAAGATGCATGCTTGAATCACAGTACACTGGGAGATTACAGAGAGTTAGTATTAAAAAGTACATTGAGGTAACTAGCTTGAGGTATAGATACGGTCAGATTACGTCAACGACGCAGGTGCAATGTTCGCCAGGTGCTGTATGCAGGCGTGCCACACTCACCTGATGAGGAGCAGGTGTGCCGCATTTCAATGTGCCGCGAACGATGTGCCGCGTTGTCGAGCAGACGTTCATAAAAGGTAATTACCAATATAGCTAAGTTATCCTCATATGTACATATGTGTATCTCTGGAATCTTCCAGGTGTACCAACGACTGAAGTCTTCACAACCAGCATTCAGACTGGAGATCAGCCAGCAGCCAGGAGATGATGACCAATATGCTTAAGAGTTTAGTTTTGAGATCATGTTTTATCAGTGGAACACTTTATTTCAGAAAAGTGTTCATTCTCAGTCAGTAGTAACTAACAATTCACTTAATTGTGAATTGATATATCTTCAGTTCAGATCAAGCCTAATATTCAGTATTAAAGTACTGAATTCTCAAGTCATGTAATCAGTAAGTATAAGCTTTAAGTTAAGCTTGTACATTCCAGTTTTAGTATTTCCGAGGACGGAAATATTTTAAGGGGGGTGGATTGTAACGCCCCGTATTTTATTAATAAAAGAAAATATTAGCTTTTAGTTTAAAGCTAGCCTTTGTTAATAATAATCATGTTTATGTTCAAGCTCAGGTTAATCAGTAAGATCTATTCCAAGTTCGACTAGTAGTCGATAAATTATTCGGTTAATTATTTCAGTAAACCGGATAAGTTTCCAGATTTAATTCCGATTCGTTTAATTAATTAATGAGTCCGAAATTAATTATTCAGTCAGCGATATTCCGTCATGTAAATCATGTTTTTAGTTCCGATATTAATTTATCGGAATTAATTATTTTCAGTCAG